TTATTCGAAAGAACGTTTGACAGAGTGGTTCAAGATTGGCCTAGCTACTTTCGACAATAATGAATTTCTACGTTCCGCTGAAGAATGAGACGATCGAGAGACCGTAAGTTTCAATATATTATTTTTCACGCTTAATTTATGTTTTTCAATGCTTTAATTCTTTTATAGAATTGCGTCTCATATTACGAAGATGCCTCATATATTGGGAAGAAGATTCGCTTTAACAACCACTAATTTTAAATACTTGGATATTGGAATCAGTGTCGGATCTATATCTCATGTGGAAATACTTATTGGTGACAACCGAGGCAATTACATTATCCTGCCTTATGGAATGTGGAGGATGTTTATTGAGAGACGTATGAACATTGAACAATTGCTGCAGTCAAGCGTCCCGTCATCGCTACGAATTCAAGATTTAGTTCTAGATATCGTAAAAATACGTAATGATAATATTGTTAAATTGACGTTGAATGATACTTGTATGTTCATGAAACCGTCGACTATGCTTTTTATATTCGAACTCGAACATTGTGTTGAGCATGTATACTTTAATTTAAATCAAAATACGGACGCTGTTAATAATAAGTTTAAGCATTTTGTCGATTATTTACGTCACAATTGTATTGTGAAGAAAGACGATGCGATAAATATTTTGCGTAAGGTATATGATAAAACGTCGATTATTGAATGCGAACTCATAGCTTACGCGTTAAATCATATTGTGCACGATGCGTTCCATAATTAAATATATACATTATGTGTTAAATGTATTAATCATGTGCTAAATATATACATTGTCAGTTAAATATACATTATGTGTTAAATTTTTTCGTTCCTTATCTCTTCATCGAATTACATCGCGTGCGAGAATCATGGGTGGGACAGAGATACCGCGGGAGGGAGAGAGAAAATTGCAACGGGGCCTGCGCTAGAACCCCCTTTCGCGACTCCGCATCTAGTTATACCTATGTGTTAAATTTTTTCGTTCCTTATCTCTTCATCGAATTACATCGCGTGCGAGAATCATGGGTGGGACAGAGATACCGCGGGAGGGAGAGAGAAAATTGCAACGGGGCCTGCGCTAGAACCCCCTTTCGCGACTCCGCATCTAGTTATACCTATGTGTTATCATTTACCGTTGTATGGAGATGCGACAATGTTAATATGTTGTGGTAAGTATTTAGATGCTTCGTCCTCACAAAATTATCGCGACGTGGAGATGTAGTGGTAGGTATAACATGTACCTAGATACTTGCACATTGAGATGTAGAAGTAATTTTAACTTGTGTTTGAATGCTAGCACATTTGATTTTTATCTTTCTCGGGTACGAACATCTCTGACTACATTTTGAGTTTTAA